ACATATTCATGTATGAAAGATGTACAAGAGTGCATTTTGCATGATAGGTCCCCTTTAAGTTTAGTCCTGACTCCTGTGTTTGACCAGGGTCTTGAGCAAATGTTCAAACCACTGTAGATTTACATGCAGTTACATAATATATGTTCTCTTTGAACATGTAACTCACGTGGACCTCTGTTAGGGTGAATCTGACCTTTCGCGGCATAAGTTCAGGCTCCTTTGGCTGGTTCTGATCTCAGTTAATGGGAGTTATTTTGGAAATGTCTTGATAAAGAGACATCTTAAGCAAAGTATAACATACTTCAAAATATACTGTTTATTATACTATTAATGTATTTGTCACGCAAGATCCAAATAAACATGGCTCACCGTTTATGTGTTTAGTTTTCTCGGATACTTATTTACAAGAAGTATGTTTTTCATTTAAATAAATATGTTACAATTGAAGGCTATCACAATAAGCAGCCACAAGTATTTTTCTATTTCAGAGACGAGATATTTAAGCTATTAATAACAGTTTTAAATATAAGACAGATGGTGAGGGATGATAATCATGAATCTCAAGTATTTAAATGCTGAATAAAAGGAGTTGTGTTGCGTTTGCATTTCTTTGACAGGAAAAGATTATGTCAAATGTAGTTGGTTGCCAATGTCAAAGGAGCACAAAGTGCAACAGAGCAGTACAGCGCTGCGAGATTAAGCTACTGGGTCAAAAGCTTCACTTCAGATCAAGTGAGAAAAAGCTCCGGGTCAATGTTATCATCAGAGCATCAGACTTATTGCATGTCAGACAGAAACTCACCCAAGACATTGTCTCACATGATCACACACCCACACAAACTCACATCCCATACTTAGCAGAGCAACCGAACAATACAAAGCACCCCCGCCCCTGTAAGCCCCACCACTTCCATATAAGTTAATCACGTAGTGTTCGTTTTAATCTGATTTAAAGGCTCACCATCTGGAAAAGCCCAACAGTGTTAGTGTGTGTGTGTGAGAGTGCGTGTACAGTATATCTGGACTATACTCATCTATTATGAAAAGTGAAACAATTATGCGTACCATGCAGATGACACACTTTTTTAAGCACGAGCCCAATGAGTCTTCAGCTATTTTCTGCTTTCAGGCATATACAGACCATCTGACCCACATCGTAAGCTTGTTGGAAGGAAATGCATTAGCCGTGGTCAGAGACACACACACGTTCATGTCACCGTGGGTCAGTAATCTCAACTCATACAATGCAGGACCCAAATGAGCAGAGCTAAAAGAGCTCAACGGTAAAAGCTATAGACATATACAAATAAAAAGTATACAAATAAACAGATGGGAAAAACTCACTTTTTGTGTTTTGTTCTCCTCTTATTACTATTTAAATAGTACCAGGGTTCCAGCTTTAACATTTTAAAACACCAACAGATTCGGAGCACATTACATCAATCATCCATGCATCATGAACTGTTATATTAATGCTGATAGAACAGCTATTAAAGACTTTCTACCACTACATAACACAAACATGCGTTTAGACAATAAACATTAATTGCCCTGTCACTCATTATCTCAAGGACGTTGTTTGGCTGCCGCTCATGCACAGCCATTCAACGGATGTTAAGCAAAGTTAAGATGGCAGCCTTTTTAATGTAGTCCAACTTTGTTATTAGCTGTCAGTGCAAAGCGAATATGTTTTGTTATGGAAGCAGAGTCTGAAACATGCAAACAGAAAGTCTATTGTGCAGGAAATGTAACAATTTCATGTTTAGTGAATTATCTCATAGTGAAGTTCATTATGAGTTTTTTTACTTTTCACCAGGAATGTACTTGTCATTATAGCAAAGGTTCAGATTGCTGTTTTTCTATTTCTGTATGTCCAAGAACAATCATTAGGTCAGGATGATGCCACATCAGTTGAAGATGTGCTGCTAGCTTTCCAGTCCTGCTGCTGGCCTGGCTCTGAACTGGCACAGGTCACACAGCGAGTCAGACACACTGATCCAAATAGTGCACCTCTGGTGAGTCCGTCTACATGAGCATTTCATCCAGCAGACCAGTAAAAGGCTTGTTTCAACAGATAATGTTTCCTTGTAAAGATAGGCTGTGTTCAAAGTGGATATGTCATTGTAGGATTATTGACATTTACTGACATTGTTCTGGTCTGACATTTGATACTTCCGCCTGGTTTGTCACAAATACATTAAAGAAAATAATGTCCGAGGATAAAATAGATACAGGCCACTTTTTGTATTTTTCCAGTGCAGACGAGTCACATAAGGAGACAAATGTATTCTATAGCCGTGTGTATATGGGAATGTAATTGTTATGTTTAGATCCAATGATTAAAGTTGAACTCATTCACAAGATTATTGTTGACTGTAACTGATGCTTGAAGTTTTAGCTAAAGTCTATCTTGATTGGGGCTAACGAAAACAGTTTCATTTTGTTACCACACCATGGTTAACTATCTAATCCTAAACCTTAATTCTTGAATCATTTACCACCTTAAACATTTGTAATGTTTTCTCATTATGAACCTGATTTAGTTTACTTAATGTACTGCATTTATGTAAGAAACAGTAAACCCTTAACATAATTCTACTGTTGCGTGCCGGCTGCACCTCCTTCCCCCTGCAGGGCTCTGAGGTTCTGCCTTATCAGTGCATACCACAATTTGCATAAGTGCTGCACGAACACCAAACACACAAACTGACGAACAAACACAGGACCAACTACAGCTCCTTCTTAGCAACTTGACAATAATGATATATCCCATAAAAAATATGTTGAACCTGAAATTAGATATTCAACTCCGATAGATACACTTCCTTACTCGCAGCATAAATATGGGAAAAAAACGTCCAATTTAAATTTGGTAACATAACTATTAAAGACTTAAACTTAACTTCCAGCTCACTTAAAAAGTACATTGAAGGTTGCTACATCTAAAACAATAGATAAAAAGTGTTATTTCTTTGCTGCTTCTGCACTATTGCTAAGAGTAGTATCAGTAAGCATGAGGACAAGCAGCAAAAAGGATAAATCACCTTTGAATCTGAAGTATTCTTAGAACAGGTTGAGCCTGCCAAGCTCCCATTATGCTTCTACTCAATCATGTAGTTGTAACGTTTTCCTTAATGATATCATTTATATATTGAAAATCATGGATGGCTATAGGCTGGTAGCTAGTGACACAAGTAATAGCTTTTTTGCACTCTGCCACAGTGTCAGGTTACATAAGAGATGGACTGAGGTCACATGACAAAGATGTGCTGGTGTCAAAGAAACAGTGATGACTGAGACAAGTCTGAGAGGGGAAGGCAGGTGAGAAAGGCAGGTGAGGAAGGCAGGTGAGAAAGTAAGGCGTGAAATGGAAAAGGCTCAAGGATATTCTCAAACACATGGATAACCAGAGTGAAAAAGACACAAAATAAAAAAGGACTGAAACAAACTGTTGTAATGAATTGGATTTTGGTCATTTCCATGGGAGTGCACGTTACGGTGCTTCAGAGCCTCCATGGCCTACATTCTGCCAGCTGGCAACACACAATTGCATGCATGAGTATGCCCTCACTGTCCACCCCCTCAACACAGACACATGGATCAGATGAGACAGTTGTGGGGCAGTGTTTCCATTAGGAGGGATGAAAACATTTTACATCCATTTACACAGCCGAGCATGTTGGTTTTTCCCTTTTCTGACGTGCCATCTTAACCCTTAAGACTTCCATTAGCTTCCTCATCAACTGTGACTACAATAACTACACTTATGTTATAGTTAAAGAGCGTTAAGCCTGTCAGCCGTAAGTTACAAGTATTCCCGACTGTGTAACCTTTCAGTATAGGTATACAAAGCGTCTCAGGTTGCCCTCATGCAAGCGTTATAATGGCTGAGTCCTCAGTCCTAGTTGATACCTGTGTCCCATTTCCAACCACGGAAGCATAAAACTAATTTTAAAGTTGCATGAGGCAGATTAGCCTAGTTCAACCAAGCGGTGTAAATTGGGTTGGGTTAGCTAACGTCTTATGATATCAACGTCATTCTCATAAACCTGAATGGAACTATGTGAATTAGCTAAGTACTGGGAATAAGAAGGGTTGGAGGAGAAAAGGGTAAAAGAGGTTTGTACATATGTGTGTACAATAAGATATGGTTGTACTGTTTGTAATCTTTTGCATGGGTAAGCTGCTTAAGGGGTCTTCCATGGAAAGCAATTGTGACCAATTAAGCTTAGCGTGAGAGAATTGGACGAAAAATTGACAGATTAACAGCACACGCAGAGAGAAAACAAAGAGATTAAAAGATATGTCAGCAACAATAAAAGCAAAATGAGTAGAAATATAAAGAAGGTAAAAGGAAGGAGCAATAACGGGGGGAAAGAAAGGTGAAGGAGTGAAGAAGAAGAAGAAGAAGAAGAAGAAGAAGAAGAAAAAGAAGAAGAAGAAGAAGAAGAAGAAGAGGAAGAAAGTGCAACAGCGAGTCACACATTCCAAAAGCACCCAAAAAGCAACAAACCACTTCACAATGCAAATCAACATGCAACTTTCTAAATATACTCATGTGCAGTGAGTCCAGTCAAGTATGAAAACAAACATAGTACTCACCTAGTCTAGGTTGCCCTTATGGCTGGCACACAGTAGCATACCTCCAACACACACACACCACCACCACCAACGTGAAACTACGAGTAAGAGCAAACATAAGTAGCAAGAAAATAAGCACTCGAAAGGTGGTGAGAAGAAAAATCGATTTCCAAACAAATGTGTCAGTGTGTGTGTGTGTGTGTAAAGATGTGTGTGTGTGTGAGTAAGGTGGGTGTGTGTTAGTGTGTGAGAGGAGATCCACTCCAGCAGCGGACGGTACGGGAGAGCTCTGTCTGTCGCTCGCTCTCTTTCTCTCTCTGGCAACTGTGACGTGTCAGGTTTTAGTCCAGACCCCTCCCTCCCTCCCTCCCTCACTCCCTTCCCCTCGCTCCGTCTCTCCCTCATTTGCTTTCCCTCTCTTAATCCCTCGCTTCCAGTCGCCCCACCTCCAGACCCTCAGACTGATGAAGACTTAGAGCTGTAAGCACACACACACAAACATGTGAGACATGCATGTCATATGTAGATGACATGCACTTATGGTGCTTAAGTTAACTTGAGTTCCTAGAGTCGCCATGTTTGGTTTTGTTTGACCCTCACAACCTGCCGATTGGCCACGAGACTTCATGTTATTTTACCTTTTTGTACTATTTTGATTTCATTGTTTTTCTAAACTATTATATACTATTATGTTCATCATTTGTACAAAAAAACGGTGATGATGCCACTTTGATAAGTGAGTTTTCGCGAAGAAGAAATATCATTGTTTTAATACTTTCTTACAGGGAGTCTATAGCACTTTTTCCTGCAAAGGAAATTCTAGGGCTTAATAATTACCATTTTGTGGCTTCGATAGAAAACATGTTCCTGATTTAAATATAAATATTGTCTCGTAATAGTCTCACCATGTATTAGATGTCACCTTTTTACATCACATATTTCCCTATTCATTAGTACGGACACATTTTAGTTAAAGATTAGTTAATTAATAATACAAAATCAAACTTACCAGTGGGGTTGTTGTGTTGTGTTGGCACTTTAAGATGCTTCTTCCTCCCCAGCTCTTCCCCAAGTAAGAAGTACCATCCTTGAAATTCCTATGGCACATACACAAAGAGTGACTGGGGTGTATGTGTGGGGGTCTAGCGCATGCAAGTGTGCGCCTGAGATCAAGCTTGGGGATCCAAATTAATGAGAACTACTTTAAAATAAATTCTTCATGTGAGCATAAACATGTTACACACACACACACACACACACACACACACACACACACACACACACACACACACACACACACACACACACACACACAGTGCCCGCTCCTCCAGGGCAGCAAACACTGAATATACACACTCGCTACTCACAATGCTTTAGCTTATTTAAGCAGCTGATGCCCCTACTTCTGCGCTTGTGCCCTGAGAGCCAGATGGTGACTGTGTGTATATATGTATGTATATATATATATATATATGTGTGTGTGTGTGTATGTATGTGTGATTGCAACTCCTGTACTGTACGTGTGTTATATAAAGTCATGCAGAAAGGTCTGATTTATAATCCAGAGGATGATGTGAGCACAGTTTTGCAAAAAGGGACATGACAACATTGTTTTGAGGTCATTAGTGATCTTACTTTATGTTTCAAATGTATTACAGCACACACACACACACACACAATGATGCACATACACACAAACAGCCAGCCTCCTCTTTTGTACTAAATAATGTGATGCCATGGACAGTGACAATAATCTCCGTTTTAAAAGCATCTTATCTGAGTAGACAGATTTCTGCGGGCTGTGGGACAAGGGGGGAGGACGGGCGGGAACTTGTATAGAGTATGGGGGAGGGGAGGGCATATGTCCTGACGGTCAGGGATGGATTTATCGTTCAATATTACAGTGTACATGTGACAAAGAGGGGGGGGAACACAGGGCAAAGGGAGATGTTATTCAGGAGGGAGACATATGAGGAGGATAAAAAGAGAAAGCAGGACATGAGAAAAGTAAACACAAAGAAGCAAAAGGGTGGAAACAGATGACATGAAGTGACAGGCAAGCAATGCAGGTAACACAAATAACACTCATTACTAAGCTACGTAACAAGAGCCCAGTGGAGGGAAAGAGAAAGGAGGTCTGAATAATAAATAAATAACAGAAAAAGAGTGTGTGGTAGAGGGGATAAGACTCTGTGACTTTGAGCTAAATCGTCTGCATTTAAAGCCAATTAAATATTCATTGGGATAGATGTAAAGAAGAAAAAAGCCATGAGCCTGACTAAAATAGAATTTCTTCCTGTTGGTGGTTTTTCCTCACTGATGTGGGCGTTATTTGGGATCAATAAAAAACACTTACTGTGGTGATGAGTTAAAGAGAGATAGCATGCAGCTGTGATCCTGATTTGTTTTCCTCTTTTTATTTCTAAACACCAAATTAAGAACTGTATGTCAATTTGTCAGCTAGTCTGAGAAAAGCTTAAAGCTCTAGTTAAATAGCCAAAATGAAAGGCTTATGGAACAGAAACAGACAACTGGGGATCACTTCTCAATAGTTATGAGGGTTTTGGTTTCCTTTCAATCCAAAAAATAGCTCTAAGAATACACATATTATGTAAAGGTGGATACAGTTGGATACAATATTGTTGAATAATTCAATTGTAAAGGGAATAAACTAGGAAGAGCAGTTATGGGGACCAACTGTACAGTGGAGGAGAACCTATTATAAGCAAAAGGGCAACACTGAACTCTTGGACCTCACATTTAATCTGCCATCACCTGGGACCATTTGAGAAGAAAGGCTTGGAGCTGTGTTCTTCTATATTATTCTGCGGGTGTGTTGGATGAGGGGGCCTCACCCTTTTTGTTTCCCGTCTAGGGATGGCACTGCCTGTTTGTCAGTCGACCACATTGTTTCCTACTGAAATATCTATAAGATGGATTTATATTAAATTACAACTAATAACAAGTAAATCCCACCTTAGATGCTAAAATAGTAACTTATTCTTGTTTTTTTGTATTTGTATGCAGACCAGCTAACCACATAGAGCCCTGAGCAACAGAAAGGAAATGTTCAGTATTTGTGATGAGAACTGGATGTGCCGGTCTTTGACAGATCCAACAAAAGCTGAAAGAAGGAATCAACTTAGGGCTTTGTGTCTGCTGATGGGTAACAAACTCTGTCTTGTTATCATTTCAGTCCAACTGATATCAAAAGTCTCCAAAGATATTTTTTTAGTATAAAGAGGCATTACTTTCTGCGATTACATTGTAAAACAAATCTAACCTTAATATAGTAGGAAAAAGACACTCCGTATGGCACCTGAATAATGAAGGCATCTGTGTTTAGGTGTGTGACCACTGTGTGACCCATAACATTTCAGTAGAGCGAGTGACTCACTGTGACTTACTCCAGTGACTGGAGGCAGTACTGCTGGACTGAAAGACTTGTGACCCCAAAGTGTTTCCTCTGATCTATCGAGGTCACTGCATACATCCACACTGAGCTGAACTTTTAGATTCATGGTCTAATGACTGGACACACACGCACACGTAGGTGGAGGGAAAGTTGAAAAGACAGCTAGTACACTGTTGACAGAATGACTTTATTCCTGTAATCTCTGTTTGAACTCACCTTGTCTGGGTCCATAAGGGAACGCACACCAAAGCTCATGCAACCCAGCAGTAAACTCATCCTGTTTGTAGAGAGAGAAACAGAAAGAATAAAGATGAAGGATCAAAATATAAATACATTTCTCAAATTAAAAGCAAATGTGTTCTCAGTTTTGGTTTCTGAAATGTGTTTTTTATCCTCCAAAAGCATTAAATCCCATGAGCCTAACATATCAGTATGGAGATTTATAATGTTTGTCATCTAAGTGTCAGATGCTTCACATCATCTGATCCCACATTACTGCACATTCTTAATTATTACAAAAAAGAGGGGACAAGATTGATCCCTTGTGTACAATCTGTGTCGTAAGAGGAATAGTAAAACATGAAGTTGATAAACAAAACAATAATTACAAAGTTGAAGCTATAAAATGAAAAATATATGAATTCTGACATTGGACCAATGTTATGGGAGTCTGTGTGTGGCGGTGGTTGAGGGGGTGGGGATGTTCAATTATGCATACACAAATGAAAAAAATGTTCTCGACAACCTCCCAGCTGGACAGGACTAATGCAGCTGCTGATTCTGTTCTCAGGGCAAACTGGCTGTCAGCACAAATGAACACCTTTCTTGGCTCCGCTCAGTAGAAGGAGCCAGTGACCGAAAGAGCTCAGCAGCATTGGCAGATTGTTCACAATGATGAGTTTTATAATAGCTCATTTTACCAAAACATCCAGCTAGCGCCCCTGTACATCTGTTTGTGGGCAGAGTGGTGCATTGAGTTAAAGATGTTAGTCAGCGTGCTAATGCTTTAATTGGAAATGAAAACATGCTGGTGTTCTGCAGGTTTAGAATGTCATCATCATTTAACACATAGGCAAGCTGACATCTGATTAAAAAAAGGACTTAACCCTAAGTGAAGAGGCTGATTGGAATGTCAGCACTTTGCAGGTTTTTTGAATAAACCAAGTTATTTGACCAATTAAAATGTTGACTATGATGGCACTATATGGAAAGTTAAGGGATCACCAATGTGGTTACGTTGAGTCCTGACAAAACATGTTTTCCCTAATTTTCATCCAACTGTTTTTGGGAAATATCAATTGAAACCACAGCTTCATGGTGTGTAATAGATGGTGTGTGTGTTTAATAGATGATACACAGTGGTTCACCAAAGTCATTAGTATTCATTCTCTGGGCACCATTAATATCTGTACCAAATTCACCGGCAAATCATCACATACGTGTTTAAATTCCACTTAAAGCAAATTTAGCATCCTGAATCAGCTGCCTAAAGTCAATTTGACAGGTGCCCTAGTACCTCAAGTTACTTTTACGTCAAATAAATGATGCATTAAGGCAGCAGCTTTTCTAAAGGGTTAATTATTACCTACACTACTGTTTATAGTAGGGATGCCAGAAACTGACCACGATCAAATTCGAAAATCGGACAGCCCTGGCGAATATTAATCGATTATTCGCCGCCACAGACCCTTCCTCCAAGTTTACAGTAAAACAAACTGGTGGTGTGACCAATGGCTATTTACAATTATTAATACTATTACTATTATTAGCATTAGTCAATAGTTTTGGTTGAAACTAAGCCAGGAAAAAGAAAAACATAAATAATAATAAAATATATACGGTAAATCAAATCAAATTTAAAAAAATAATTTTCGATTATGGAGATTGTAACGAATATTCGAAAAATCGCCGGTATCCCTAGTGACATGTCTCCATGCTTTAATGTTCAAAAAGCTCTTCTTTTTTTTTTAGTGTTGTAACTTGTGATTTCTTTCAAAGTGGCCTGGTCAAACAATGGTTAAACTTTGAAGACTAGAGCTTCCATTAGCTATGGAGCTGGCAGAGTCCCACATAACACTTGTTTGGTATAATGTGGATCGTTAGGAGATGAGAATAAGGGATGATTGAGCAGGGGAAAACAGAAAATGACATTTTGATGCCCTGGGTTAATCTAAATTAAGTGCTGCTCCTATCATCAGCCCTACCCTACTCTCTTAAGCAATGCTTTGTGGCTGTTTTGATTTACACTGATGTCCTTCGGTTGGCTACAGCAGCACTTTGGTCAATGTTCTTTAGTGTTTAAGAAGTTTTGCTGAAGAGGCACTAATGCTTACAACTTCTCCACAGCACAGAAGAGGCGAACGTTGAATGGGCAACGTTTTATTTGGGGCTAGAAAAAAGAAGTGATTTAAAAAAAATCATTTGGGTAATGATATCACCCCTGAGGAGACTTTAGGTCCTCATTTTTGCTTGTGGTGCATACATGTGGTCTGCAGGTGGTCAGGTCTTTCTTTTATTTAGATGTTGACGATCATGAGCTGCTTCTTCAGTTTATGCAGGCATGTACTGTATGTGGCCTGATAAGAGAACATATTGTTACTCAGTTGCTCTTTTTAACAAAGGAGTGTTTTGTAACTTCAGCAACCTCGATTAAATTACATTCAAATGCTGTCTGCAGAAAACTAAATCTAAGCAGCATCTGTTCTCCACCTCACCGGTAAATGAGTGCATGCAACAGATCTGACTGTTACATATTACATTATTTGATGATCTTTTAATTGTGATCGATTTCCTTGAGGTTCTAAAATGTATCGTTTACATTAGAGATGTCCCGATCCGATCACGTGATCGGGGATCGGAGTCGATCACGTGATTTTCAAAAGATCGGAATCGGGAGAAAAAAAATCGGTGATCGGGATTGTTTGTTTTTTTTAAATACTTTTTTTTAAATTTTGTATTCAATGTTACAAAACAAAAATGACCATGTTCAAGTCTTAAAGTCATCCTGAGGCCTTAGTTTTGGTTTCAAATTACACAACATCATGTATGTGTTGCTTCTTTGGGGCTTGTTTTCATAGACCTGGTTGCTTATTTCTCTCAAATCTGGCAACAGAGTGGGCAGGGCGCAGTGTCTAATTGTAGCAGTAAGCTAACGAGTACCGAAAGCTTTATTTTGTTTTGATCCAATGCTGCACAACTGAACTGATCCAATGCTGCTGTGAAAAAAAGAAGCTATATCCATGTTGGATAGAATATCCAATTTAAATAAGAAAAAATAACCTTAAGGGACAACTTGAATGCTTTTTTCTCTCTTAATGCATTGCATAAAGATCGGATCGGGAAAAATCGGTATCGGCAAATTGTCAAAATCAAATGATCAGAATCGGATCGGGAGCGAAAATAGGTGATCGGGACATCCCTAGTTTACATAAGATAGTCCTTGGTTGACAGAGCACCTGGAGAATCCATGAATATGTGACATTGCTGTGTGTGGATTAGAAGTATTGAAGAAAGCGTGCAAAATAAATCGTTGTGCATCATGTTGGTTCTGAGCCATTTTTAGTAGGAAATGGGAGCTAGTAAGAGTCTACCTCGCGTAGTCTATGCAATACTACTGTTTGGAGAAGGGCAAACTGCACACTGTTTTCAAGTTTTTAGGATAATAAAATAACAAATGTAATATTAAACCAACCAGCAGTTGGATAAAAGCAAATAATGTTCAACTATTTGAAACATGTGTTCCTACTGGCTTTTCCAAATAAATACCAAGTGACATTTGGTGTGAATGAAGCTTAATTGCTTACCAAAGATGAGTAAATCTCTCTTAATCTGTGTCCCAGAAACTCTCCCAAAAAGGTCTTTATCTTTATAAGCATTCCATGATCTTAACTCAACTATTCATGTAAGCCTGCCCCTGTATACAGTACATCTGTACACGTCGTTTCAAACAGCTGCTGTATGTGACACTATGCTTTTAATCAACTGAAAACACAAAGAATCATTGGAATTGGAAAAGTGGGATATCTGCATTATTGTCAAACGTAGTGTTCTTCAGTGTTTCTACCACATAGCAATGTTTTATCTGTCCTCTCAATAAAACATTGCACAGAGATGTGTGACTCATTCAACCATATGTCCTCCATCCCCAGCAATGACCCTGTTTCGTCTTTAGTCTGGTGAGGCAGGGAGGCGAGAGTAACACATTCACTCTGCCAGAGTGAGCAGCCATACATAAACACACACACAAAGAGCCAAACAGACAGAAGCATGCTGCAGAATCAAGTATACAATGGTGTTGTACTGCTCTACTGGGAGGATTTTTGCATGTTACAGCTTCTTGTAAAGATAAGTTCAAATCGGAAAAAGACTCACAAAACGATTGTCTTTGAGCCACTAAAACCATCACTCTCCCCGCCAACAACGTCAACATTCCCAGCAGGTACCTTGATGTGGAGTCAGAGTTCCACATTGTGAAGAGCAGTCTCTTATGCAGGTCCCCTTCACTGACAACACTGAAAACAAAGAAGAAATGTAGTTTCCCCTCACTTGACTCAAATGTTTACCAAGTTCATCTTTGATATAACATCTGTTTGGGACTAACAACATCTGAATAGAACACAACTGACTCAAAAGCAGTGTGTGTAAAATGCTAACGTAGATATTGATAAATCTACATATGTATCATATACAGTGACATAATGTCTTGATGTAATTGTGTAACACACATTCAATCTCAGCTAAGCAAATCTGTCTTACACTTAGGATTCAACTCAGTTAAACTACCCTAAAATAACATTTTTGAAGATGTGCTGCACTTCTGTAACATTGTATAAAAGCTTACAAGTAAAAGGTTTGCAAGAAGATGGGGTTCCTACACTCAGGAACCATCTGACTCTTCTGTCTGTCGCTGGGATCGCTGTCCGGGAACATGCCGATCTGAATAGGACCGCAAAACAAGTTCACACACTTTAATATTCACAGTTTTTTCTTGAACTGTATAACTCTGTAGAGGGCTACATACCTTAACATAAGAGTCACATGACCGCTGGCAATCCTCCACAATGCCCCTAGCCTCCAGAACTGTCAACACATACAAAAAGAACTGAATAAATGAGTTGCATTAATTATGTATATACTCATCTCCTTTTTCAGGAGCTGCGCAAAGTGTCACTAATAATGAAATTCAACTGGACCAACAAATGCCCTGCTCCACTGCGGCTCAGAATACTGTAAGTGTGGTATACAATATTTCAGTAGAAGGGAATTTTGCTACAAATATGCAATCAGGTAGACTCTGCATGTGTTAGGAGTCCAGTGAGCACACGGTCAAATGTATGGGCCGTCACATTTAATATAGCTTGTGTCAGCTTCAACTCGGGAAATGCAGAATAGGACCCGAATGCAGACATATAGGCAAGAGTGGAAAAGATTAATGATTTATGAAAGTATATACAGGGCCTCCAGGCAGCGGCAGGCAGAGATACAGATACAGGTTACGTTTCATGTTTAGGGAACAGAAGGAAAGTGGGATAGGTAAACAGGGGAGGTCAGGTGAGTATAGGACTGAAGGGAAAAGGGTGATTGCAGGGCAGGAAGGGGAATATGGATGTGGAAGTAGAGAAAAGGTTTAAGGGAAGGGAATGGCAGGAGACAGGCAGATTGTGACAGCTTGAATGACATCACATTAACTCCACTCGTGGTATGTGAAGAAAAGAAAGAGGATGTCTGTCTGCTGAAATAACAAGTACTGAAAAAGATTTGTGAGATTTCCAATAACTACAAACCAGACTTTATAGAAACAGCTGCTCAGTAAATCAACATCTGATGCATGTTTCCAGCTCTCCTTTCTTGTTGCCAACCAAGCCATTACACTGTGGGTACTTTATCCCCTGCCAAAAAACAGCATCAAATGAAATTCTAACTGGCGTTTACGTCCACATGGGGCTCAAACACCTCATGGATCAAGAGACAGGAGGCTGTAGTGGCAATTGCTCCCGTTTATTATTGATTACTCTCATTGTACATCTTTACAGTATTGACGAGTTTAAAATATCAACGACAAGGCTGTCAGAAGTCTCACATGGTTTAGTCTAAAGGCATTTCTCAGGATATGTTCAAAAATGACCTAAATGTCAACTTCATACAGACCAAAACACCAAATATGAAACATTTCTGATGACCTCGGACCCTTCTTCCATTTCACCTGAAGACGCATCTCAGAAACTACATGCAAAACACATAGGTTTAAAATGCAAGTAACTCCGGGACTATGATCGAGCATTATTCGTGGTGACAAAACATTGAATAACTCTTAGATTGTTCCTACATACCTTTTTTATATAAGAAAACAGCTTTCACTCTCCTAAAAAAATATATACTCAGTTTTCACTTTACTTTGTGGGTTAGGGATGTGTTGATCAAACTCTGCGGTATTCTTTAAGGACACAGTGATGTTGTTGTATTGAGTTGCATTATCTCTAGAGGCTTTTTTTCATGATATTCCGTTCCCCTCATTTTGGATAATTAGACATTGCATTAAATTTGTCATGGAAGGGTGGACAAAAAAACATCTAATTTGGAATCTGATGAATAAATGGCCATTCACTCAGAGAAATGACAGGGGCACAAAAGACCTGAGAGAGGACACGGAGAATCACAAACAAAAGTAGAAGCGTGCATGACTTGGTTGCTGGGAGACCAAATTAAATAACCACTTAAGTTAGATCAATGTGCTCAGCTCCCAACCAACCTACCTACGCCTTTTCATATTAATGGTCTGCTGTCGTGATTAGACAATCTGCACTGTGCCATTCATGTGCTGCAAATCATATGCTCAATTTGCCTTGCCAAATACATTTTAATATTTCACCAGCCTCATAGTGCAGGCTTTCAAGTGGTCAGAGTACATAGTGTTTGGCCACAGCAGTGCAGCCTTTAATAGGACTTACCACTAACAACAAGAACTTCTTGCTCCTGGATGATTGACAGCTTCAGCTGACCTATTGAAAACAAGAAAAGGAAGGTTATGACAGTTTGAGACGTATCATTATTAGACGTAATAGTTTACATTTAAGTGGAAAAATAGAAAACTTATTTGCATTAACTTTTCATTGTGAAGTAAATGAGGATTTCAAAATGCAATGGCTGTAGAATAATGACAAGAATCAGCGTTTACATCGGTATAAATCTTCTCGTTTAATAACTCTCAGCAAGAAAGTAAATAACCACATCTATATTAATTGCCAAAGCCTGTTTGTATCATTATTGTAGTTTTGCTTGTAATGTAAAAAAAAAAACATTTTTGGTTAGCATGACTTATCCTGGTCATTAGACAAGGTTGAACTTGACATCATTTGAAAAAGGGCAGCAGAGGGAATGTGAGCTTGGAAAGTGCAGCCTGTGAGCAAACCAAAAAGGTCAGATAGCTTCTCAGGGCTCGTAGCTGTGTGTGTGTGTGTGTGTGTGTGTGTGTGTGTGTGTGTGTGTGTGTGTGTGTGTGTGTGTGTGTGTGTGTGTGTGTGAGCTTACAGCCCGTTTTGATTTCAGAAATCTGTTGATATTAACATTGTATCATCTCCCATCTGAGGACCAACGAGCCTGATAAAATACGTTTAATTATGTATTTATAGTTTAGCTCACCCACTTCTTATTCTCTGTGTGTGTGTGTGTGTGTGTGTGTGCGTGTGTGTGCGCGTCCACACTCCACAGTCCATCATGTGTCAGTATTTCCCCTCCCTCACTCCCACTTTGTCTGCCGTTGTTTCCCTTTCCTGTAAGTCTCCTAGCACTGCGAAGGGCTCTAGGAGACTTGTTAGTCATGTTGACATGGCCAATGCTAACATTGGCTTTGTGCTCCTCTAAATTAATCCTGCTGCTCATAAGAGCAGAGTCAAAAAAACTAAAATGTGGGAGCCTTGTTGTGTGATAACACTGCTGGCACTTCAGCGCTTGGGTACAAGGGATGTTTGTCGTTCCCACACTGAACTTGGCATAGTTTTGTGCTGCTGGCTGAGGTGGAAGAACAAAGTGAGAACACGGTATGAAATATCTTGCTGGTACATCTGAACCTAAAGCTAAAGAAGCAGCCTCAAAAATGGCAAACACAATCTGTACCACACTAGTTATAACGGTAAACAGGTTCTTGTCACTGCTGGGAAATCCATCTTGTTTAAATGGTTAAAATGTATCCATGTTTGCAGTAAACAGTCAGCAGGAGCTTTATTGATCCTTTAATGGAATTTTCCTTCATTCTCAACACTGCAGGTGATGCATGCTAAGTCGATACATTGCTCTAATTGATAAATACATTAGCCTGCTTTGTAACATCAGCTCAAAAGGGATAAACATAGTTCTTTATGGGTGATAACGATAGAAGTGGTTCCAGTGGTTTTTAAAGACAGGGGAGAGAGAATCTAATAAATAGTAGGCACAAAAGAGAAAAAAGCAGATGGCCTGTAAGAATGGAACAATGATATTTTGGAAGCAATGGTTACAGATGCGAGTGTAGGAGTGAATTAATAGGGCCTGGCAGACAAGACAGCGCTGTGGGTCAATACATGCATAACTGAAAACACACCCACGACTCACACACACCAATGCAGTAATAAATGGCCACTGTGCACACTGCTCTGAATGCTCAACCTCTGAATAAATCACTACGACTTATGCACGACTACCCAATCCACTCTAATCAGAGACATTTCCATCATGAAGTTCAAACGCCTTAAACATTTCAAATGTATTAAATGTTCCAAACTTCTACCAATATCGATGAATTTGACATCTGAAGGCAAATTTGTGATTCAGGGTTGTGTGAATAATTCAGAATTGACTTGGATTGGATCTACTGAGGACCTTTATCACGTGCTGTTCCCAAAATCCCTCTTCCATTGCTTTGTCTCTTCAGAAATACAAAGAGATGCCATCCTCAGCCATTCTGTGTTGATGTGCTTGGCAAGATTTAGAGCTAGGTTGGATTAAAAATTCCTGCCTGCTCCTGGGGAAGGAAAGTATTTAATGTCAGAAGAAAGGCCAGCCTTACAGAGAGAAAGAGGGTTTAGTAACTAAAATAGTGCAGCATGAAGTTTTATAACAGAGATCCATCAACAGTAAAAAGTACTTTGATGAGGCATAGCGGGTAATAATTACAGAAGGCAAAATTAACTATTGTGACTTAGAAAACACTGCTTGACTACAAAAAGGTGAAAGAGGTTTCATTTCTTAGTGTTGGCATTTAACAGAGGCGCAACGCTATGAAGCTTCAAATGAAAAGATTAAATTCCCAGAAACCTTAATTATTTGTACTTCCTCTCATCCTATAAACACAGTCAGCTTGTAAACATAATTAGTCTCCGGTATAGGAGAAAGATGTGAATGGTGTCTGAGTTTGCAGACTTCCACTCAAGTCAAAACGCCAATCAAACCTTCATTTAAGTGCCTTTGAAACAGCAGACTATTAAGAAATGTTGTTTTCAATCAATAAAGCCAATGTCCATGTTCAACACGTTCTCAAACTTCAACATCAAGTAGTGTTTATGGTCCTTTCCACAGTGTTGTTTGTGTAGCTGTTTCCCAGAAGGTTCTGCGTTGAACAGATAAGTCAGATGCTGTTGTTATTTCTTTGTCTGCATGAGCTAAAGTGTTTTTATGTCTGACTCAACACCTTTTATAAATTGAGAGAAATGTGGTTTGTTAAATACTGTGCAGCATGTTTAATCAGTATGTAATGGGAAAAGAATACAGAGATGTTTAAGAACAAAAAAGGTGTAGTCATTAAAAAAAGATGTAAGACACTAACATTGATGTTGACAGTGAGTCACTCGCCATCTGAGTATTCCCACGTTCACATGTCAGCCCAGTTAGTCACCATACTGCTGTCCAGTAACAAGACATGAGCCCAGCCACGTCACGCTTATCTGGAATCAATTTGGTATAGATTACAGATATTGATGAATGTGATTTCTTTATAAATGTAAACTTTAAAAACACCAAAGTGCACAGACACATTTAGACAACATGTACTTTGTGTGTGGCTCCCTTTGCTCTGCCAAAGGCAAATCGAAAATGTCATCCAACCATGTGTCAGATATCGTGGATGAACTTCAATATCTGTTCTTTCGTGTTCATTTGGCCACATTCTGTCAGACAGCATTTGAAATGTCCTACTCGGTCATTGCAGCGGGCGCTCTGTCAGTGTTGCTGTCACTCAAAAGGAAGCTACCGCCATCTTCCTCTGAGGCTTTAGTCACGTTGCAGATAACAACCCAGTTCATGTCCTGATCTTTCTTAAGGTGCCCTTGCACCTTTCCTACAAAAAAAAGACACATTCAATTCTTGTTTTTTGAAGTACAGAATGTAATCGAAAAAATAAATCTTCCATTGAAAGACCAAAGAAAGGGAATAAAGGCCATACTCTAGCTCAGGGGTCTGCAACCTTTTTGACCAAAAGAGCCATTTTGCTCCTTTTTCCAAAACATTTATTTGTCTGGAGCCGCAAAACATATTTCATAGCTAATAAAGTTGTATTTATTGTTATGTCAGACAAAAATTACAGTTTTTTTTGCATTGATTAGGCTATTTATTANAAGTCAATGGAGAGATAAAGATTATCTTTCGATCCCGTTTGAATTGTGCCACAAATTATACATATGATGATTGTCAATTTAAAAGATAATTTTGCAAGTCAAAAAAATTAAAATGTGTCGTAAAAATGTGAAGTAACACTTTTTTTGTGTGAAACCGCTCAATGAACTACATCTCCCGTCTCGAACCACACACCAAGACGGCCGTCACGTTGGCACATTTCACTTCTTTCTTTCAGAATGAGGCGAAAAGTATTAAAAGTAGGGCCGGGACTCGATTAAAAAAATTAATCTAATTAATTAGAGGCTTTGTAATTAATTAATCAAAATTAATCGCATTTTTAATCACATATAAATATTTGACCTGAGAAAAGTGAGAAGCAATTTTTTTCACATGGATTTTAGTATACCATTGAATAATGACGGAATACATAAGCTTAAGCAACAAAACTTTGTTTATTTTTTTTCAAGGTGGTACACTGGCCATAAAGTGTAGCCAATAACCAAGACCAACAGAAAAGTGCAATTTTTGCCATAAAGTGTAGCAATAGCATATTTAGGAATATAGTACATTTCAGAGATTCAGGTAGCCTATAGGTAGGTAGACCTTCTGTAAACTATAACACTTTGTTTTTTAAGTAAAACACAATACTTTCAAGTACATTCAGAACATTGGAAACCCTGACTATTAGAAAACATCTCTCCGTTGCTTCAGAGGCCATAACAGACTTTGTTGATTTACCAACAGTTGATTTAAAAAATCTAATACATTTCAGTCCAACTCTCTCTAACCTTGGCCAAAACAATAAACAGTTCAACATAAAGTGCCAGTTGCACCAACAACGTAATAAATAGTTCAACATAAAGTGTACCATTTAAAATAAAATAAAAAAGTGCCAGTGATTGACCTCAATCCCTCCTATTCTTCCAATATCCTGATGAAAAATAAAATCTCTCTGTTGCATAGGCCACTGTTTGATCAACGCGAATTGGGTGTGGGTCCTTGTACTCCGAGTCGGGCTAACGTCCACGCTAGCTTCCACGCTAGCTGCTATATGTTTTGCATTGAGGTGNGTCACTAATTAAAATGATAGGCATGGGTTAACTCTTGATTGACCTCATAAACTGTGCTGGACACACAATGACCCATCAATTAAAATTCCTTGACATTATACAACAAAATAGGTTCCAGTAACAGTCCTAATGAAACCACACAGTTATGCTTTTTCCAATCTGACATTCCTATCGACTTCAACAACGTCATTTCTCAGTGCCTTCTAAAACTTAGAAACATTTCTTTTTTTCAATAAAAGATAATATATCGTTACGTTTGGTTAGGTTCAAGCACATTATTGTTAAAAAGATAACGACTTTGGCTTGGGTTAAAGTTATTTATTTACTGGACTTCAGTTAAGATTA